TACGTTACAAGCTACATTTTGGGCCTATATTCTATAATTTGTACTGGAATACATTTTACATGTAACCTTCCCAACACTGGTTGTTGTGTAGTTTATTCCTATGTGTACCCCCGCTGTCTGAGATATTTCACTTTTGTATGTGTGAGTCGGTCGCCTGTTTACTCATTTTATCTTTGGTAGTCTGTTGTCAGCTGTGCTTTGTATTTACTTCCCCTGCCTCGTCCTGTGATTACTGCCAGCTGTTCCTTCTGCTGGCCTCATTACCTCCGGTATTTATCATCTCAGTCTACTCGTGTCCTTTGTCCAGTTCTTCTGCACTGTTTTGGCTTTTGTTTCGTTCTGATTTTACCTTCCTCCTCCTCTGTACTGCAAAAATTCCAGCCACTTTCCACACAACAAACCCAAAACACACCACAGTGAGCCCGAGGCCTCACACACTCAGGAGGACTTCAGGTTTTTACTGCAACCCCCCAAACAGGGACCAACCTGAGGTCCATGTGTGAGTGTCTGCTCGACTGATAAAGAAAAAAGAAAAACCTTCACTACTACAATACCCACAACCCCCTGCAGGCAGCTGATGCAGAGATAAACTGAGCCTGAGGTCAGAGTTCAAAGCCTGGCTCAAACTGCTGTGCTTCAAAGACAGCCTTCAAAATGTAACTTTATAAACAACAAACGAAAGAACATATTCTGTCACCCCTAAAATCTGATTGGCTCATCTGAAAATGTTTGGAGATCACCTGAAACTTTGAGAACTTTGTGAAATCAGCAGGAAAAGCTCAGGCTGTAAGAAATGAGTCAGAAAGCGCTACTCGAGGCTCTCTGAGCTCTCCCAGAGGAGCAAGCCTCCAATATTTATTTTGTTATCGTTAGCGTGAGTCTGACACTCGCTGAAACTATGAACTACTGCAGGTAATGTACCCTGCAGTACTGGAGTAGATGTATTCGAGTACTTTGCAGGTGGGTGTGAGGTGACGGGCGTGTCGCGGCAGCACTGAAAGAGGAGCCGGACAAGTCTGAGATTCCTGATTATTATTAGAGACAAGCCTGGAGTCCAGCCGGTGCATGAGGCGAGAAATGATCCGTTTAGGACAGAAACACTTGCATGTGTGCGACACCACCATAACTCCGTACTGACAAACTCGTTACCATCACGATCAGTCAGTGAGAAAAAGCTGCAGAATTTCACATGAACAGAGGCTCAGTTATGAAACACAATTATAATTTTACCTGCTCTGATGGTTTGTTGGTTAGACACATTCACGTCTGACTACATGACATGTTCAGGGATTCAAAGCTTCAATGTTCTCACCTCCTCGTAGGTCCACACAGCACTGGCCAGCTCCACACAGAAGATCACCAACAGACTGCCGAAGTACTGAAACACAGGCGGAGACGAGTTTAGTCTGATAATCAACCTAAAACCTTTCTGTCAAAAAGGCATGAAGCTGACCTCGTCCTCTCCCTCAGTGACAGCCCCGAGGTGTCTGCAGCTCTTAACTCTGAGCAGCACAGTAATGTGTGATGTCTGAAGCTGGTTTTATCTCCTTGTCCACCTGAATAACCTACTCACTCACAAACATGAGAGACTTCTACTGTTATGTAATCTCACAGCTAACTGTGTGTGTGTGTGTTGGAACTGGCTGAGCGGGTTCCCATCATGCCTTGGGGCAGTCCCTGTAGCAGACTGAAGCTCCTCTCAGCAGCTCATCTTTCGGAGACAATCTTATCACCTGTTGGGAACAATGGGGCACCCAACACCTGGCCCCGCCTAATCACAGCACAGAAAACAGGTGGTGTAGCTCAAACATGCAGTTAGGTGGACAGTGTGACCTCTGTGGACTCTACCTGAGAGTCCAAAGTAGGCTGTGTGTGTGACATCATACACCTGCACACCTGCTGACAGTGGTGGACTCTGGACTGAGCTCAATCCTCCCATATGGAGGTGTGTGAGGCAGGTGGAGCATGTGGAGCTGGAGGCTGACCTCTTCACCTTGTTTAGCAGCTGGTGAGCAGTGATGCTCTGATAGGCTGCAGCAGAACCAGTTGATAAGAGATCAGTCTACCTGAGGAGTGTGTCATTATGATGAAGCTCAAGTGAGTCTGCCTCAGTGCTCATAGGGCTTCAGGTTCAGAGACATCAGCTCCAGGTTTCTGATGTTCCCACTTCACTGTGTACGCAAAATGCCACTGAACCTTAACACCGCCACAGGAAGGTGGGAGCCGCGGGTGCTTGTGTCATGATATCAGTCTCAGTGTAGACCTGTCACAGCTAACACACTGATCAACAGTCACGCCAACACACACTGACCAACAGTCATGCTAACATACAGGTAACACACTGATCAACAGTCAGAGCAGCTAAAAATGTTTCCTCTGCTGGCTGACTCAAATCAGAGACTTCATCTGTGCTTTTCCAAATGTGTCAGAGCACTCAGAGACTGTTTCCTGTTAAATGTCAGCTGAATCCAGGACATGGACTTCCTGCTTCTGATTGTAAAATCTGAGATAAATGTCGCCTTTGGTTAAAGTAAAAATCCTGTCTGAAGTGTGTGATGTGAGCATCCGTACCCAGGAGAGCAGCAGCAGGTCACACCTGAGCGTGCCGCAGTACCCCACCATTGCCACGATGATGAGAAAGCAGCACACGGCAACAATGACGGGGTGAACAGCTGGAGAGTACGTGAGGATGGCAGCTTCCTCCAACCTGCATACACACACACACACATAAATTAGCCTCCATGCTCCGAGCTTCACAAAGCAGCTGTTTAGTTCACATCTGGATCATCTATCAGAGACAAGGTGTGTCAGGTAAAGATGATTTAAACTCTCAGGTGCTGTCACCTGGTTGGCTCTGATACCTGAGCTGCAAGCCAGGCCAGACTCACCTGGTGTGGGCCGTCAGGGTGAGGACGGTGTTGAGAGAGTCACGGATCCACGCCGCCACTCCCAGCACACATGCTGACATCAGCTGGACACACAGAAATAAACACATGGATATGTTTCTGCTGCCTATAATAACATCTGAGAATGTGAAGCAGGCAGCGAGGAACACCCGGCCTGCTTCACCCCAGCACCGCCTGTCCCTGTACACAGAACTACCACTAAACACAGCACTCTGTACACAGAACTACCACTAAACACAGCACTCTGTACACAGAACTACCACTAAACACAGCAC